ACTTCAAGTAAGTTTTTCAAAACTGTCATATTTTGTGTATTTTAACATGTTCGATCGTAAAATCATCGAATTTGTGACTTCAAGTAAGTTTCTCAAAACTGTTATATTTTGTGTATTTTAACATGTTCGATCGCAAAACCATCGAAATTGTGACTTCAAGTAAGTTTCTCAAAACTGTTATATTTTGTGTATTTTAACATGTTCGATCGTAAAATCATCGAATTTGTGACTTCAAGTAAGTTTTTCAAAACTGTTATATTTTGTGTATTTTAACATGTTCGATCGTAAATCATCGAATTTGATACTTCAAGTAAGTTTCTCAAAACTGTTATATTTTGCGTATTTTGACATGTTCGATCGTAAGATCATCGAATTTGTGACTTCAAGTAAGTTTTTCAAAACTGTTATATTTTGTGTATTTTAACATGTTCGATCGTAAATTCATCGAATTTGATACTTCAAGTAAGTTTCTCAAAACTGTTATATTTTGTGTATTTTAACATGTTCGATCGTAAAATCATCGAATTTGTGAATTTTAATTTTAATTTTAATTGAAAATGAAAATATTTCATTTGAGGCGATTGCTGTTACATAAGTAAATAAAACTAATATTCCTCCTAAAAAAATTAAAAATAAAATATAGGAAAATCAAAATGTTTTTGAGAGTAATCCTGAAATTATTGAAATTAAAATAGTTTGAATTAATAATATTAATCCAATAGATAATGGGTGATTTAAAAATAAAAATGTAATACTTGAAATTAGTATTATAGATAAAATTAATATATGTAAGATTTCAAGTTTTTCAAAACTGTTATATTTTGTGTATTTTAACATGTTCGATCGTAAAATCATCGAATTTGTGACTTCAAGTAAGTTTTTCAAAACTGTTATATTTTGTGTATTTTAACATGTTCGATCGTAAAATCATCGAATTTTTGACTTCAAGTAAGTTCTCAAAACTGTTATATTTGTGTATTTTAACAGTTCGATCGTAATAATCATCGAATTGTGACTTAAGAAGTTTCTCAAACTGTTTATATTTTGCATATTTTAACATGTTCGATCGTAAGATCATCGAATTTGTGACTTCAAGTAAGTTTTTCAAAACTGTTATATTTTATGTATTTTAACATGTTCGATCGTAAAATCATCGAATTTGTGACTTGAAGTAAATTTCTCAAAACTGTTATATTTTGTGTATTTTAACATGTTCGATCGTAAGATCATCGAATTTGTGACTTCAAGTAAGTTTTTCAAAACTGTTATATTTTGTGTATTTTAACATGTTTGATCGTAAAATCATCGAATTTGTGACAAAGTAAGTTTCTCAAAACTGTTCTATTTTGCATATTTTAACATGTACGATCGTAAAATCATCGAATTTGTGACTTCAAGTAAGTTTTTCAAAACTGTTATATTTTGTGTATTTTAACATGTTCAATCGTAAAATCATCGAATTCGTGATTTCAAGTAAGTTCTCAAAACTGTTATATTTTGTGTATTTTAACATGTTCGATCGTAAAATCATTGAATTTGTGACTTCAAGTAAGTTTCTCAAAACTGTTATATTTTGCGTATTTTAACATGTACGATCGTAAAACGATCGAATTTGTCACTTCAAGTAAGTTTTTCAAAACTGTCATATTTTGTGTATTTTAACATGTTCGATCGTAAAATCATCGAATTTGTGACTTCAAGTAAGTTTCTCAAAACTGTTATATTTTGTGTATTTTAACATGTTCGATCGCAAAACCATCGAAATTGTGACTTCAAGTAAGTTTCTCAAAACTGTTATATTTTGTGTATTTTAACATGTTCGATCGTAAGATCATCGAATTTGTGACTTCAAGTAAGTTTTTCAAAACTGTTATATTTTGTGTATTTTAACATGTTCGATCGTAAAATCATCGAATTTGTGACTTTAGTAAGTTTTTCAAAACTGTTATATTTTGTGTATTTTAACATGAACGATCGTAAAACCATCGAATTTGTGACTTCAAGTAAGTTTTTCAAAACTGTTATATTTTGTGGATTTTAACATGTTCGATCGTAAAATCATCGAATTTGTGACTTCAAGTAAGTTTCTCAAAACTGTTATATTTTGCGTATTTTGACATGTTCGATCGTAAGATCATCGAATTTGTGACTTCAAGTAAGTTTTTCAAAACTGTTATATTTTGTTTATTTTAACATGTTCGATCGTAAATTCATCGAATTTGATACTTCAAGTAAGTTTCTCAAAACTGTTATATTTTGTGTATTTTAACATGTTCGATCGTAAAATCATCGAATTTGTGAATTTTAATTTTAATTTTAATTGAAAATGAAAATATTTCATTTGAGGCGATTGCTGTTACATAAGTAAATAAAACTAATATTCCTCCTAAAAAAATTAAAAATAAAATATAGGAAAATCAAAATGTTTGTGAGATTAATCCTGAAATTATTGAAATTAAAATAGTTTGAATTAATAATATTAATCCAATAGATAATGGGTGATTTAAAAATAAAAATGTAATACTTGAAATTAGTATTATAGATAAAATTAATATATGTAAGATTTCAAGTTTTTCAAAACTGTTATATTTTGTGTATTTTAACATGTTCGATCGTAAAATCATCGAATTTGTGACTTCAAGTAAGTTTTTCAAAACTGTTATATTTTGTGTATTTTAACATGTTCGATCGTAAAATCATCGAATTTGTGACTTTAAGTAAGTTTCAAAACTGTTATATTTTGTGTATTTTAACATGTTCGATCGTAAAATCATCGAATTTGTGACTTCAAGTAAGTTTCTCAAAACTGTTATATTTTGTGTATTTTAACATGTTCGATCGTAAGATCATCGAATTTGTGACTTCAAGTAAGTTTTTCAAAACTGTTATATTTTATGTATTTTAACATGTTCGATCGTAAAATCATCGAATTTGTGACTTGAAGTAAATTTCTCAAAACTGTTATATTTTGTGTATTTTAACATGTTCGATCGTAAGATCATCGAATTTGTGACTTCAAGTAAGTTTTTCAAAACTGTTATATTTTGTGTATTTTAACATGTTTGATCGTAAAATCATCGAATTTGTGACAAAGTAAGTTTCTCAAAACTGTTCTATTTTGCATATTTTAACATGTACGATCGTAAAATCATCGAATTTGTGACTTCAAGTAAGTTTTTCAAAACTGTTATATTTTGTGTATTTTAACATGTTCAATCGTAAAATCATCGAATTCGTGATTTCAAGTAAGTTCTCAAAACTGTTATATTTTGTGTATTTTAACATGTTCGATCGTAAAATCATTGAATTTGTGACTTCAAGTAAGTTTCTCAAAACTGTTATATTTTGCGTATTTTAACATGTACGATCGTAAAACGATCGAATTTGTCACTTCAAGTAAGTTTTTCAAAACTGTCATATTTTGTGTATTTTAACATGTTCGATCGTAAAATCATCGAATTTGTGACTTCAAGTAAGTTTCTCAAAACTGTTATATTTTGTGTATTTTAACATGTTCGATCGCAAAACCATCGAAATTGTGACTTCAAGTAAGTTTCTCAAAACTGTTATATTTTGTGTATTTTAACATGTTCGATCGTAAGATCATCGAATTTGTGACTTCAAGTAAGTTTTTCAAAACTGTTATATTTTGTGTATTTTAACATGTTCGATCGTAAAATCATCGAATTTGTGACTTTAAGTAAGTTTTTCAAAACTGTTATATTTTGCATATTTTACCATGTAAGATCGTAAAACCATCGAATTTGTGACTTTAAGTGAGTTTCTCAAAACTCTTATATTTTGCATATTTTGACATGTAAGATCGTAAAACCATCGAATTTGTGACTTTAAGTGAG